AAACGGAGGCTTAATGGATAAAATTTTCAAATTTTAAACAAAAAATTTTCGAGTTTTAATTACAAGTGATGAAAAACTGTAAAAAATTTTGGTTTTAATTTTATTTATTTTTTTATGTTGAAATGAATCACGCTTTAAAACTGCAAAATTTTGCAGTTTGATAACAAGTTTTTTAATTTGATTAATATAGGAGATTATTTACTTAAACTCTACAAAATTAAAAAATAAATTTTTTTTTAAAATTATTGTTTTTTCTTGTTGTTACATTTTTTTTTTAATTTATCAATATTTAACACTTTCTCTTTTTTTTTTTTTGTTCTAATTTCTCCATTCACTTTTCTTCTTTTTTTTTCCAGCAATATTTTGAATATTCTAGTGAATCTCTAACGATATTTTTGACGTCTAACAACATCTTGGACATTCCGGCGACTTCCAATGAAGTTTAGAACACTCCGACAAATTTCTGACGATATTTCGACAACTTCCCGATAATGTTGAACATTTTGGCGAAACTTTGATGACCATCTGATTGAAATTTGACAGTAGTGGCATGTAACAGCGTCTTTAAATTTAAAAATAAAAAAATTAATTTTTTTTATAATAATTAAAAAAATGTAAGACTAATTAGTATAAATATTTTATTTTTAAACTTTGCATATAAAACCTATCCATACGTACCCCAATAATAATAAAGTCAAAGCCAAAGAGTTTGGAGGGGGTGAGGTTAGCTACATGAATCTAGCACATATGGTGCTTAGGGAAGATGCTGGTGGACAGTGTTCATCACTTAAAAACACAACAAGATCAAGCAAAGGAAGCAAAGAAAATCTTATGGTCCTTGGAAGAAGAAATGGTGTCTGTGCTTGCCTTTTGGTGCTACTATTGCCCAAGTGCATTGTACGGACTTTCCTCACATTTTAGTGGAATGGTTACTATGTTTCCCTTCTTTCTTTCTTTTCTTTTTTCTTTTATTTTATTTTATTTTTGATTGGGTTTAAGTATTGGGCCTAAGAAATTCACAAATCCCATACCCATTACAACGATCTGAATTGTTTATTTTGGTTTCATTTGACTATGAAGATTGGGATTAAATTAGTCACTAAAAGACAAAATGGGTTAAAAAATTAATAAGATAAAATATCACATTTAAACCATAATTATTTCACTTTTTCTATCACAAAAGTCAAAAAAGCCAATTCAAACCAACTTTTTAGGGTTATTTAAGAAGTAGGTTAAATGCTGGCTTTGACTTATTTTTTTTAAAAAAACGTATAAAAAAATAGAGAGATGATATGATTCAAAAAAGCCAAAAAGTTAGAAAAGCCAAAAACCAAATTTGCAAATGGATTAACAAGAAAAGTCGCAACTTAAAAAAGTCAATTAAAAAGTTTTTGTCAACAATAACATTAAGTTATTTATGTATGTAAATCATCTATAAAATAAATGAGATGATAGTTTTATCATAATCACATAATTTCATTACTGTAGTCTATTCAATTTTATTTTTTTTTATAAGTTATTTACATACGATAACTTACTAATAAAAATTTCAAATCATCACACACTCGTGATAAATAAGTTTCATGGGTGTCTAGTGTTGGCCTACTTAAAATTGTCTTATTTTTTGTGGATTTTTTTTTATTAATTTTATTTTTATTTATTTATATTTATATTTATATTTTCTAATTTTTTGTGGAACATGCAAAGGTGAGACATTAATACAAAATTCTCGGTTACCTATTTAATATTGCTGTTTGGTTACCCAAACTGCGACAACAAACTTCATAAATCAAATGGGTCATGAGTGTAGGCCCTGTTGATGTGTCTGTGTAACTAATTTTTTTTTTTTTTTTTTTTACGGGGGTTTAAATCATCAATTAATCTTTCTAACTTTATTCTAATTTCTAATGTGATGTTTGAACCTTTAAATTTTTCATTTAAACTTTCTAATTTGGGGGAAAAATTAATTGCTTAAAAATTGAGGGAGAAGTGCTTATGGTTTACACTGTTAGATTATTAACTTTCAACTTCATAAAAGTTATATCAAGTATACCTATAGTAAGAGCATTTTCAAAAGAGTTGTCAAAACTATAATTTAACAAGAGAGACAAAAAAGGGGTCTGCAATGGCATATTATTCTTCTTGTCAAATATGACAGATATCATTTATGTTGTCAAATTTAGCAGGAAGAATAGTAGGTGTCAAACATGCCATATTATCAAACATCAATAAATTTTTGGCTCCAAATTAGTTGAAAAAACCTCTCTCTTCTGCCTCCCAGCAAAACAAATAAATTTTTACAAAATCGTCATTTTTGTAGAACTAAACACAGAAACTAATGTGTTTAGGACGACGACTCGGTCGTCCAACCGGTCGTCCTGAGCACATAATTTCTGTGTTTGGTTCTGTTAGAATTGTATCTAATCATTGAAGTACCATTACTATAATTCTGCTATTCATTGCCAAATTATGGCAAGAACAATACTATTATAGCATTTAGCATTAGTGGCCTTTGGTGTTGTAAGTTAAAAATTGATAAAAGTATAAAATCCAAAACACCTCTCCTCTCACTTTTAGATAATTAGCTTTTTTTCAGTTTATATTATTTCTACCTAATTTGTATATAGAATCTATACCAAACAATTTGATACAAACTCTCAAAATAAAAATAAATAAAAATAATAAAAATTCTATAAATAGCTCAAATAAATTGTACCAAATAGCCTATTGTTTGGGGAGCTGAATTTAAACTAATGTGATAGTACCAAATAACATGAAAATGGGATGGGACCATTATTGTATACATGGAGGACACATTTTCGTTTGGGAGCCTTCCTAGCTATTCATCCATTATTGACTTTGAACCTTTGATAATATTTCAAACTTTGAAAATTTGAATGTGGAACTTGTGATTGTGATGTGTTGGACAATCTTCACTGTATTTAAAACGATTTAATTCTGTTGTGTACAAAACAACAACAAGAATAAAAGAAATATAGAAAAGGAGAGAATATGTTTGATTACAAAAATCAATCTCGAAATAAAAATAAATAAATAAAAACAAACCAAACTTGAGGAAAAAATAACCATTTCCAACATGATGTTAATGCTCATTGACAGTAGGTTATAAAAGAATAAATAAATAAATAATTGTTACCACTAGTTTCAGTGAGGAAAAATACATATTATTTTCTTGTCATCATATTTGTATAATACGAAAATAAAATATGTGAAATATAGATATGAATAATTATATTTTTCTGATTTTGAAGACACAAATAAACCAGATTAGTATCTCATCAAATCTCACTTGTGAGAAATGATATTGAAAAAATAAGAGAAATGTTCTTTCCATCTTCATTTCTCATTTGTTAACCAAATACGAGAAAAATAAACCCACCGTCAGAGTCATTTTTCTAATCACATATTTCACAAAATTGCACCATCCAAAACTATTGTGAGTCTTTATCAAATATAAATTTCCCCAAATTGAAATTAGGAAACAACAACTAATTTTTTAAGTTATATTTGGATTATAAATTTAAATTTTTAAAAAAAACAATTAAAAACAATGTAACGGAAATATAAATTAATTTTTTTATTCATTTCACTTTTTATTTTATTTACGATTCAAACACCTTACATAATTATAAGAGTTGAATTCTCTCAGGTTTAACCATCTAATTTGAGGTTTCCTTTGGAAATTGAATTCTATCACGTTTAACCATCTAATTTGAGGTTTCGTTCGGAAAGTGAGTTGACTTTTTAATTTTTTTAGTTTGAGATTAAAAATTTTGTTTGAGTTGGACTTTTTGATTCTTCTTATCGAAAAAATAAAATAATTATACTTTAGATGTGACATTTTATTTTATTGACTTTTTAACTTATTTTATTTTTTTATGACTATTTTAATAAAAAAAAATCCCAATTCAACACGCCAAACGAGGATTAAGAGTATTTGGACTTGCTCAACCTATTTTGGAGTCAACCTCAGTCATTCAACCAGTTTGTTTTATTAAACTTATCGAGTAAAATATATTTATATAAAAAATTAAAATGATAAAATATTTGTAGATATATATTTTAATCACATTTATTTACAAAAAAGTAAAAATAAAAAAACAAAAAAATAAAAATAAACAACAATTATAATTTTAAAAATAATTATTTAATTTTTTTATAATATAAATATAATTTAAATATATAGTTATGTATGTCTAATTATTTTAATCTTTTAAATAAATATTTTACTCAACAAATTTTAAAAAATAAATAATTCAAATTAGTAAGATGATCACCAAAATGACTATCAAGCTTTAAACATTACGGCCACATTTATTTGGCAAATTAAGTTGGGTGTTAGTGAGAAAATGATTAGTAAAAGAACTATTAATGTAAAAATTATTAATGAGAAGATTAAATAAAAATAAGTCTGTTATGATAACATGAGAGACCATTAATAATAAAATTATTAAATTATTTTTATATAAAATAAATAAATAAAATTATTTCAAAGCTATAGCACTTCAATCCCCTCCCTCACACTGACAAACAAACGTGGCCTATTACTTAAAAAAAATCCAACACCTCGTTAAAATAATGACTACCGATAATTTTTATAACATTTTCTTGAACCAATAGACTTCAATTCCAGTCGTCTACCAAATGATCTCCGTTGGCAGGAAGCAGCGGACTGCTGAGGCAGCAGGACTGTATCACATTATTATTTTTCAGAATCTTTTATTATTATAGAATATTTTGAGATAATGATTAAAAATTAATTTTTTTACTTTTTAAAACATTTTATAAAAAAAAATAAATTAAAAAATAAAAAATAATTATTAACTCACTTCTCAAAATTAACATTCTCTTCTCAAAATTACCGTATGTTAGAAGAAAATCATCATCATATATTTGATTTGAACAAGTTACATATCCTTACTGGCAAGGGTTTCAAACCCAACATGATTACCAAACAAACAAACACACACACACAGTTCTTTTATCATTTCTTTCAGTTTCCCATTTCGATATTTTGATAATGATCAGTCGCTTTACAGACAATTACTAGTGAAACCTCCTGTTCCTCTTTTCTCTCTCCAACATGAAGATCCACAAAAACAAACCAAAATACAAAAGTGACTTTATATATACGTATAAACGTTATATATTATATATAATACTAATTAATTTCACATAAAACAGAGCAAACACTTCATGTTGATGTTGTTCATCTAATCATCATCATTACTACACAAAAATCTAATTCCTAATCTTCCTGATCAACATTTTCCCGCTTTTTTTCCTTCTCTTTCATCAAAATCTGATCAAACACAGGATTCAAATCAAATGCTAATTCTTGTCTTCACTTCCTCTGTGGAATTTCTAGATGGATTGATAACTGAGATCTCGTGGCAAGGTTTGCTAACGGTTCGTGGCACAGCAGAGAAATCTGCAAACCAAAATTCAAGAGAAACAGATTAAGATTTGAATTAATTAATAATTGAGAATTTAATGTGTAAATTGAATATGACAGTCCTATTTACCTCTGGATCTGGACGAGTTATATGATCTCTTGCAGTGAAGAATGGCGCTCTGGATCCCATCGTGTTGTTCGAGAAGCGAATCGTCTCTTCTGGAAGCTACCGGCGGTATGATTCCGACGGCCGACGAAGCCGATCGGCTCTTTCCGAGATGCTTGCACACCTCTCGAAGAGGCGCTTGTCGACTCCCGTGTTTCTCTGCTTGTTTTCTCGGCGATCGGACTGGTGCTGCAGCCGGAGAAGACAATGGAGTCGAGGAAGTAGAAAAATCATCTGTGAACTTTTGTTTTTCAGTGTACCTCTTCGAAGCCCTGACGTAGATAGGTTTGATCAGCTTCAGATACTTCTGGACGACATCCTTGGCGAAACGCTTCGACGAACCGTTCTCTGAGCTCTGCTTCCGTGAATTGCTTCTCGAACTGTTCACTCTCGCAAGCAGTGAGAAAATCGGAACCTCCTCAACCTTACATTTCTCAGCGAAACGCTTGCTCTGCTGGTGAGTCGCCGGCGAAGCATCGGCGGGCTCGATTTTCTCCAATTTCGGCTTCTTAAACAGCATAAACACACGAAACTTCGGCGGAGATCTCAGGAACGAAATCGGAGACAGAGGCTTGGTTCCTTTAAAAAACACATCGTTAGGAGATTCAACGAAATCGGACTCGATCACGCCATCCTTTTTAGCCAAATCGTTGTACGAATCTTCGTCAGTGTCAGAACCGTCGTCCTTGTCTTCCTTCTCGTCAGAACCTGGCACAGCAAATTCCAAATCGAAGAAAGTCTCTTCTTCCTCATCGGATTCAATCGGCTGATGGCCTGCATCGGTGTCGGAGGCTCCTCCGCCGGCGGCATTTCGCCAGAATTTGAGCAAACTGAAAGCTTCCATGGTTGGGAGAGCCAGAGTAGCAGTAGTAGTAGCAGTAGTAGAAGATGAGACTTGAGAGAGAAATGAAGAGTGTGATTTGTTAGGGTTTGGGTGCTGAGGGGAGCTATAAATAAAGGGGGGCTTCACTTCGTTTTATGGTGATGGCAGTACTTACTGAAAAATTACAGAGACAGAGAGAGAGAGAGAGAGAGAGAGTGTGTGTGTGTGTAAGGGGTTGTAAGCTTTTAATTTTATTTTATTTACTGGGGAAATACCAGTAATGGGACTGTTTGGTCAATTTATATATGAGTGAGGCGTTTGGTGCAGGTGGCTAAAGAGAAGAGGTCATGTGCATAGACCGGTCTTTCTCGCGTCACAGTTCACAGACACGCAGAGAGAGAGAGTATAGAGTCTAGAGAGAGACCGGAGGGAGAGCGGTTACTTAAGCCTATTTTGGTAATTGAAGAAAATATTAATTTATTTAAATCACATAATTTATCTATTTTTTTTTTATATATTTTTCAAAAAAATTAATAAGTGCAAAAAGACACCTTTTAAAATAGGCCTTCGGCTTTGTTTGTCATGTATTAAAAAATTCAAAAAGTCAAAAGTTACTATCCTATTTAAGTCACATCACCTCTTTACCACATCACTTCAAAGCCAACCCAAACCCAACCCATATTTCATAAAAAGTCAAAAATACACTTATTTAGAACATCCCAAACCGAGCCTTAGAATCCGTTTGAAAATTTGAGTTTACAATTAAAAAAATTAAAAAATTATTTTAACTTGTTACATTTAGGGTGGGTTTGTTTTGAAAGATTACGGGATGAAATTGAACTATTAGTTTTATCGAACTAATAATCCATTGTTTGTTTTATTTTTTTTGCTCCGGACTAATAGTCCGGTATATAGGACTATCCTATCCCATGGAGGAGGTGGGATAGAAACCATGAGATTTGTATCCCACATGATTATTTTGTGAAATGTCCATTTTACCCTCCATGCTATTACTTAACAAACAATTAGAAAATAATAAAATAGTCTTTTGAACATTTATAAATTATTTTTTTTGCGTTGTTAATTTAAAATTATATATTAAATAAAAAATTTAAATTATAAATTTAATTTAATTTAATTGAAAATAATAAATTAAAATAATTAAAATATTGTGCAAAAAATAAAATAAAATAAATTTTTATTTAATCTAGCTAAAAATAATTAAAATATTAAAGCCATGTTTAATATTACTATTACTTAGTAAATAATTGAAAATGATAAAATAGTCATATGAGCACTTATCCTTCTCCATAATATCTCAAACAAACATTGGATAACTAAAAATAGTCAAATCCAGACATCAAATCCCATAACTAAACAAACATAGGATACAAATTTAGTCCAACCAAATAGTTCTGGGACAATGTATCCCAGGACTAATAGTCCGATGGATTACAATCCCCCTTATCCAGTCTATCCAAACAAACGCATACCATTTAATTCGCATCAGTATGCATTGATTTATTCGTTAACTGTAGATTAAATTTTAAAATTTATAATCTATTTTTGAAATTGTTCCATTTCGTTATAGTTAACACATATTTTTTAATTTCTAATAAAATATCAAAATAAAAATAAATATGAAAGATATTTAAGTTGTGAAATTCATTGAATAGTAGTTATATATATAAAAAATATTATGTAAAATTAGTTTGTATGATATATATAAAAATTATTATGCAAATTAAGTGTTATATATTTTGCAAATACTTGATAATTATTTTAAAATATTTTTCAATCAAAAAACTGCAATTTGGTTATTTGTTAATTTGCTATTTAAGATTTGTTTTATAATTTTACTTTTAAACCGTCCGAACCACATTACGCACACCCCTAATTACATTACTTTCTTTATTTTTTGTAAAATATTAATTAAAAATTAATTCTCAAACGGGATCTTAGGCCTTGTTTGGAAAGAGGTTCAAAGTTAGAAAAAATTGACTTTTAATTTTTTTTAAATCATATCACATCTCTACTTTTATATATATATTTTTTAAAAAAAGTTAAAAAAATAATTTTTAACTTACTTTCCGAAACAACCTTGATAATCTTGGAGTAATGCACATGATTTATTATTCCATAATGCTATGGACTCATAATTATTTACCCACATTTTTTGAGCAAAATATTTATGTGATAAAAATTGAATTAATATATTGTGAAATATTATTTCAATTTCCAAATAAAAGTTTGAAATGGTAATATTTCTGTTTATTATTTGATATTTGTTGGGTTATTTTTTAAAAATTAACAAAAAAATCTACATTTTAATATACCAAGTTAAAAAGTGATATGGAATTGACTGAAAGAGTCCCAAATAATTTTTCGGATTCCATACTCCATCTATACTGTAATTTCAGACTTTTACCTTGCACAGACTAGAGACTGGTCACATAGGTGGTAAAATTTTACCCCTATATATTAGAGTTTGTGGTTGTTACTGCGTATACTGCGCAGCAGCAATTGTTGCGTGTATATTGAGCTTGTTTGAGGATTTAATTAGTTAATTTAAACTGTTTATATTTTTAAAAATATTAAATTAAATATATTTATAAAAAATTATGTCAATCGAATATCATTATTTTTTTTATCAAATTACATTTATATTGAGTTTATATTTCAAATTACATTTTTTAAAAAAAAAAAAATACAAATATGATTTGATGAAAGAGATAACAAAATCCAATTAATATGATTTTTTACAGAAATATTTTACTTAATACCTTCTAAAATATAAATAGTTCAGATTATCGAATTAGACCCTAAAATAAGCCCAATAAAACACAACAATTACTGTTGCGCACCCTACACTATAACACCCCCAAACGGTATATATTGACTGGTAAAATTAAATTTTACCTTCCTTTTTTTTTTTTACTTTATTCTATCATTGATATTTGTTATTATAATATTACTTTTTAAAATAAAAATTAATGATGAATATCCGCATAAGTAATAAATAAGTAATATATAACCTTTTTCAAAATTTGATAATTTATTTGGCATTAGTATCATTTTTAATTTTGGTCATCTATTTGGGACTAGTAAAATTTTAGTCATCTATGTAGTGATCTTTTGTGCTACATTATTTTCTTTAAAATTTAATAAACAGTCCCAAAAATAGAGTATTTTTAAAAGGGAAAAAAATCAAAAATAGGTTTTAGAAAAAGTTTGTTAAATATTTTTTTTGGGTCTCAATGTCCATTTTCTCTATTTTCTAAAACAGGAAACCAAAAATAAAAACATTATTCAATGCCCCTCAATTCTACAATTCCTATATTAAAAAAAAAAAAAAAAAACTCATTCATCACCTATTTCTAATAAATCAATAAATTAATTTAAACTTTTGAAATCATAAATAAAAAAACTCTTAATATTTTATTTTAACAAACACATAAATACATAAATTTTTACGATTGGTACAGTGAGATTTTTCTCACAACTTTGGACCATAAAAGTTGTTTACGTAAATATGAATTTATTAAAGAATTTTTTTGTGCCACTATCACCATAAATAGTGAATTGAAGATGAATCCAATATTACAATTAATTTAAAATAATAAAAAAAAATCGTTCATAATGGTAGAACTAATCATTAAAATGAAAATTAACATCAAATTACAATTACATTAAACTTGGAGCCTAATATAAACAAATCACATTAAGTTTTCAAAAGGATTTATAACAATACATACACAATCACTCAACATATCAAACTCTTAACATAAAATATAGAATAATGTTATATGCATTAATTAGTATACTGTGGGGGCCGAATAATTGCAATTAGGAAGAGGCTGACTTTGATCGATATCCGGCTAAAGTAGAAAAATTTGAATTGAGAGTTGTGCAGCTGTAATTGTTGACTTTTGGTGAATAGTGTTAACTTTTTAACTTTTTGAGTAACTTTTTGACTTTTTAACTTTTTTAAAAGTATCCAAACTTGGCCTAAGTTTTCAAAAGGATTTATAACAATACATACACAATCACTCAACATATCAAACTCTTAACATAAAATATAGAATAATGTTATATGCATTAATTAGTATACTGTGGGGGCCGAATAATTGCAATTAGGAAGAGGCTGACTTTGATCGATATCCGGCTAAAGTAATTCGGCCCTGACCAAAGATATGAGGCCGAATAAACAAGTCGGTCGTATAAGGAGCCAAACAGGAGCCAATACTCAAAAAGAAGGCCGAATAGATAACTATATAAGAGATCAAGAGTGGGCCCGACCCTCATGCCTAGAGGTAATATAAAAAGGGAGGAATGTCAACTAAAGCAGGTATGTGAGAATGGATAACAAAACTTGAAATAGAAGTAAACTAGAGAGAATACTGACTTGTCTGTCGGAGTGCTAATTCCGACACTCCCGACCAGAATGTTCATCCCTTTTACAGGTAATGATCACAGAATCAGAGACGTTTGACTGAATTCAGGAGTATTTCCAAACTACTTCTCCACATATACTAACTAGTGTACTAATTAATAATGTGACATAATTTAAGATATTTTTAGTATTTGTAATTTATATAATGAGAGGTCAATAATAATCTCATAACTAGTATTGATACATTAATTAGTACATTAATTGATATATGTAGCACTACCGTAAAATATATATATATTTTTTTTTGATTTTTTTTGGTGGACAACATGGAGTGAACCCAATGAAGAAATGAACTTTCTGTTTTTTTAGGGTTGGACGAGGTCAAACTAGTTTTTCAATGATGTCGATTGTATTAAACTTTTTTTTGAAAAAAAAAAATATGATAAATATATAAATAAAATTATATTTAAGTAGGTTTGATTAACACTACTCGATAAATGTGACGTCGCTCGTGAATGGGTCAAATTTCTCTAGTCGCGACTCCACTTTAGTGATCGAAAATGTTACCGGTTTTAAATTTTGTATCAAATAAATAATTAAATATTTTATGTGGATATTTATATGAGACATTTAATTATTTATTTGGTAAAAAAATTAGCTTTCGTTTGGAATGTAGGTTGGCTTTTTTAGTTATTTTAGAGTTAAAAAGTCTCGTTCGTGATGAGTTTTTTGACTTTTGTGAGAGAAAAATGAATTGATTATGATTTAGATGTGACATTTTGTCTTATTAATTTTTTAGCTTATTTTATTTTTTTTGTTACTATTTTAACC